TGCTGTGAATGGTGTTGAACGTGCCACTTGAAACGAAAAAGGGTATTACCTGACAGAAAGTGGTTTTTATGTGAATTGCGACATGCTGCGGTTGGCTGCTGAAATATTGCATAAGAAAGGCTTTATTCCACCGCCAGGTATTGAATACATGACTACAGAGGAAAGCGAAAGGATATCCCAATGACTGAAAATAATAGTGGGTGTAGATTCCAAAGGTGTTGCTATTCGTGGAAGGAAGCTACTAGGCTGGGAACCCAACATGCCAAGCTTTAAAGACGAGCTCGAGAATGCTTTGGATACGAACACACTGCAATTCGACCTCGTCTAGAAGGTTATTAAAACCTTGATATAAATCCATCCTAAATCTACACAATCTGGGCTCCATATTTCTTCGAGATCGTCTCTACCTAATCTTAACATTCGGGGACCTGACCTGCTATTGTGTAACTATCTTTTGCAGGATTCTCTCCTACCTTTGTTCTTTCCTTTTTATTGAAGGTATATGCCTGTCGTTTTTGAGAGGCATGGACCTTCGACTAAGGTGATACTAAAGCGGAAGCAAAAAAAGCAATGGTTATCCTTGAATCAATAATTAAATTCTTATTAGCTCTATTAAACAAATTAAAAAGAATCAGGAATTAAGGGCTCTAGAAGAATAAATAACAACCAACATGTGAATTAGAAAGAACCAACTAGAGAGTCAACGATCCATATCATCCCACGACGACCTCACTTGTTCCTTGCTCAAAGCCGCAAAGCCACGATGGAACCAATAGAGCTTTAACAACAACGGCCTATGAAATGTGTTTATATGCAAAAGCTCAACGGAAATAAATACAACGGGAAACGAAAGAAACAAAATAAAACATTTAAAGAAAACACAAGCCTGCATAGAGAATAAATGAAAAGACAGGACATCATCATAAGAATGGTTCAAGCATGAGATTCGTTTCCAGTGCTTTCAGCATCCCTAGCCTGACTCGGTTTGTGATGTATCCTTGGATGTTGCTCAAAACATTCAGATGATGGTTGTCCGGCAGTATTATCACTACGATTGTTGGATTGATTTTCAGACCCTGCTGGCATAGTGTTTAGTGGGATCCAGTTACCATCCGTCGAGTCGTTTCTTTCCGACGACATCCTGAAACCAAGAGCAGCAATAATACAAGAAGCAATCCCAGAAGCAATCCAAGGAATCCAAGAAGCAATCCCAGAAAGCACTAAAGCAATAAAATCCAGCAACACTATAAGTACCCCATTAGTAAACTTATAAAATCAAAATTCCACCATTCCACTTACGTGAAAAAACAAACAAGAACATGTAGAAAGCCGCGATGACAAGAACAATCGCTAGAGCAATCTGAAACCGTAACCCTACAAACTCTTTCATCGATTCCTTTATAAAGGGGACAAGAAAAAAGTAAGAAAAGAAAAAGTCCAATACGATTGAACCAATAAAGCACCAACCAAGCCGGAGAGCTTCATTCTCCTGTCTGCGTTGTGCTTCAGGAATTCTCGCAATTTTTCCCGGCCAGAAAACTAGAGACGGTAATGCCATGAAGAGACTCCTTAATGTCATGAAGAAATTCGTTATTGATTCGAAGGAAAGGTTTAGTCGCATGTTTATGGAAGATTCTTTGTTTTCTGGGTACGATGGAGCTGGATCAGAATGTAAACATAAGCAACCTTTTTCCATATCGTCCAGATGTGAATAGGAGTTTTCGCTGTATTTCGGCAAAAAGCTGTCAGAACTTACAGAAGAGCTCAAGCAAAAAGATTTGGCTTGTTTCGCAGCCTCTAGCTGAATTTCTTTTTCTTTTTCGTACATTTTTCTTAGAATAGAGTCATCTGTCACCAATGCGATGGGTTAGGACTGCACTGTGAACTAGAGAATTACGACGCAGTAGAAGGGTCAAAAGGCATGCAAATTTCTCGATAAGCGCCTAAATTAACTGACCCTAAAAGAAAAAACCGAAAAAGCCGAGAAAACCATAAAAAACCGAGAAATGAGTCCGCAATGGCGATAACCAGAGTTTTGCAGAGGTGAAGTAATGGCTTTGCAAGTTTCGCATTCCTTCGGTATCCTTCGCTAAACTATTACGTTCACTAAAAATACCGCTATTTTCGATGTATACCGTCACCTCTCCCAAGTGACAGTGTTGTCTTACGAGTAGCATACTGCTTTGTTTATGTTGTCTAGCCAAAAAAAAGAAAAAAGAAATAAAAAGTAATCTCCAGTTATAACATGATTCATCATTTAGTGCCATTGTACTTTGCAAAGTCTTACAGAAAAGAGACTTGTAAAAGATTTAAATGTTTTACTCTTGCTCTTTACCACTTTAATTTTTTTTTACTTTCTATTTTCAGCTTTACCCCTATTTAAAGTTCGATGGATCACAATCCAGCTGAAACGAGTGGAGTCTATTTGGAATGAATGCACCTTCTGTTTAAAGCAATCGCTTAATTAGATTTAACTTCTATCTTTATAAACTCATCCTTTATCGAGAGCTGCTGTAATTCTTTCTTACAAGCTCAAATACACAGTCGCATATCTTGTCTTTTTATCTATATAATTGTTTTTATTTTTATTAACCATGTTAACAAACTGCAATTTGTTCATACTGTCGTTGTTAACATTCCAGTACTTTCAATAAAAGAGGATACATTTTTTGATTACCAACGTGTTATTACTCGTAACGTCGTAACATACGACAACGTTAAGACGCAGTAAGTTTTATTTTTATTTTTTGAGCTATACCTGTATCAAGGTCGGAGTAAAAAATATAAAGTATTGACTATATACATACATATACATAAGGTTTTTTTTTTTTTCAATACATTCATGGGTAATAAAGAAATCCCTTTTTTATAATATATTAATTAAGGGGAACAAAAAATTGTAAGCTGTTGCTGAATTATGGTAGTGACAGTTTGCCAAGTGGTTCATGATTAAAAAAGTAAACAAACAATAATCACTTGACCGTAAATTAACTAGATTATATTACAGTCCTTTTTAGCGACCGCTTCTTCTGATGTGTGGGAACTCTCCCAGCTTTGTATGGATCATCCGCTTGTGCTCGAGCAGTATCGAATTCAGTTGCATAAGCTAGATTTATTTACATCCAACCGCTCTTCCACTAGTACAGAAATGCTCTCCAAAAACATTATTAAGTATCGTGTCTTTGTTGAGGCAACTCACTTCATCACCAGTGCAATGACTCAAGCAGCGACTAATATGGTCAACTATTTCTCCAGAACCAACTGTACAATCTGCACTCCATGAAGCGCAGCAACTTTGGTAACAAAACGAACGAGGCCCATTCACGAAGGTCCTTGGGTTATTACTCAAATATGCATCTAAAGAATAGCATCCGTTTCTGGGAGCTGCATGCTTTGTACTACAGCCAAATGTGCCGTCGTATCGCTTTTCAAGTTCATTGACGTACCTAGATCCTTTGCTGCTCAAATTTTCGAAAAACTCTTTTAATTTTTCATTGGACGTGTTTTTACTGAGTTTGGTAAAAACCGTAGTATCATTTCTAATGAAGTGCAGTAAATCTGTAGCAAAATGAGAATCATCCTTTAACTGCATGTAATCATTATAACCACCAGCGGAAGCGAAATGAGCAAGGTATACAAGATCACCAATCAAGCCTTTTTCGTCCGCTTGGGAGGCTAAACTTAAAAGCGAATTCACTTTATCAAAATTGTCTCCAGATACGAAATAAAGAGTGTAATTAAATTGGCTCAAATTATGATCATATAAGCTTGAGTAAATTCCTGAATGACTTATAATCCCATCATCCCCTGAAACGCCATCAGCATAACTATTCGCAAGGAGGTTTAGAGCACTATCATAATTATTGCTATTTATTTGGATTGCATTAGCGAGTGTAATAATAAAGCTCGCAAAGGCTAAAAGAATCATCATAATGACTTGAATCGCTAGTTCTTGTCAATTGTGTGCACAAATGACAATACGTTGCAGTATTATTTATAATAAAACAGAGCAACCATAAGCTACAATTTTTCCTTTTTTTTTTCGGTCTATGATGACTTCACTATCATATGACCCCTTTTGCGTTTTTTTCTGGGATGTTCGTTTCTCTAATGGTAATTTCTTACTCGCACTACTCCGCACCGCAATAGTCCCGGCTCCGGATATACGGTCCCACATGTGTATGGGTTTTAGATACTACTATCGGCATTAATTTCTCCGAATCTTTTGTTCGTTTTTTTTTTTNTTTTTTTTTTTTTTTGTTAATTAGATTATCGTTTTCAAACGTTACCTATGTTAGTGAGGGTAATAATTGTCTTTTCTTAAAAAAGAAAAAGTGGTTCGTGTAAAGAATTCCAAGTACTAGTCTATGAATAAAAAAAGATGATTGTTTAGATAGATTTGGGTTAATTTTACGTAATGCAAGCTCCTCATTGACCGAATAAGAAGAATTAATGTTTCACGAAAAGTACATTTCATATGCTGAACATAGGTTCACTAGCTCGTTTGTTTGCACTTTATGAAATAACCACATTTGAGGGACTATTCGCGAAACTCTGTATAACATGTTTCGCGAATATTTATCGACTTCTTTTGTAATATTTACAGTAAAGTTGAATTAACATTTGAGGACTCGTTTCAGAATTTAGCTAACTATGTTGCATCAAAATAGTTAGCAAGGATGATCCCGAATAATGTTCAGATATGTTCATATTGATGAATTTTTCTTGACTAACCAAATAGACACTCTGGTTCGATCTAGCTCAACATACGTTATGCTTATTGTTTCTCAAATCTAACTTAAATTATTGTTATTATTATTATTATCATCTAGCAATTCAAAGCCTTTCCAAAGTGAAATTTTGTCTTTGAGGTTATATTTAGTTAGTAAGGTATCAATATTATCCAAATTTTTAAAGTCCGTACATATGTATATACGATAAAAGGTGTAAACATCCGCTAATGCGCCACTGCTGATACTTGTAATTGTAAAATCAAGAATATAGCAAGTTTAATATAAGCGAAAAAAAAAATTGCAATTAATTGAGGTTGAAATCAACTGAACGCACTGGGAATGCGATGTTGAAGGAGGGGTAAGTCGACCTATGTCCCCTTTCTGCTATTCATATCTTTATTCATTACTCATGTAACGTTGTTATAGGTAAAAGTTAGAAGAACACCTTGAATGAACCCAGTTCTATTCCACCATAACAAATATTTATATTACGAAACTCATCTGAGTTTAAAGCTTTGGATTACCAACTACTCGCATTTGCTTGAGCGAGTATGGGATTCGATGAAAAAGCGAAGCTATTTTTATCTATATCCATTTGGTCTTTCTCTAACATAGCTTGTCAAGATTGCCGGCTAAGTAAGATGAAATGCACTCTATTGAGATACATAAAGCACCTTATCCTCCATCTCATTATTACTGCAACGATTCTAAAGGCATAGACTTGCGAAAAAAAATAAAAAATAAAATGTGAAAACCACAACTCAAGTCCAAACCAAATAGCAAAAATGCTAAAAATTTTAGAAATTATGAGAGCCTACAGCACCCCGGATTCCCATGTTGTCTCCAACCATAGTACTAACGAGGCCCTCAGACGTTTTCACTTTACTGCAGTGATCGGACGGGAACTGGTGTTTTCGCCTAGGTGTGGCCGTAGACACCTAACAGATGCCTAGTTGTATTGTATACCAAATTTTTAAGAGTGGACAAAAGTAGGGTAGGCATCAAAAATCAAAAACGGCAGCTATTCCTTAACCATTTCTAGGGGGGAGGGAGGGGTTTTTTAAATTTAACTTGAACATTGCGAGCCAACTTGCTCGATTGCCTGTGAAGTTGGAAGCAAACATTGTCTTCATAATTCGTTCGTTATCTTTTTAAACTTAAATGTAACAGATAGTTTTTTATTTTAACCTTTATAAATTTTGTCTTATTACTTTCGGTAGACATTGGGTAAGCAAGTGAACAAACATGCATCATTAAAGATGAAGGGAATTGATGAATCAATAAATGTGAATGCCAAAATTGGACAAATCAGCTCAGTTGAAAACGATGAAAAAGAACGAGCTAATTAATAATATTATTCAAATACATTTATAGAAAAAAAATCAGAGTGTTGTAAATAAGAGGTACAACGATAATTCAGGTCGATGAAACAACATTAAGATGAATAAAAAATGAATGAAATTAGGCATCTATGAAATGAACTGCCAAAATATTGTTTTTTCTGCTTGCTAAACAGGTATGAGGAAATTCTTTACTTCATCTACGAATTGTTGCTGGTTCATGCTACATGGAGTTTGAAGCCAATAACGAGGAGCGAGAGAAGCACAGTAGAAAGAGAATCTATGCAAACTATTCTTCAATGAAATGCTACTACATATAAAGGATGGAATACAATTGAAACAACTCAAAGATTCGATAAGTTAGGTTGATAACAAATTTATGCCACACAATAATAAACCCTCACGCAGAATTACTTTGGTGCAAAACAAACATCAACAGTTCATCGATACTGTCAGTCAACTGATATTGATTTAAGCAGGCTTTAGAAAAATCAATTTAGCAAAGGACAACGGATTAGGAACTTGAACATGTTTGAGATAAAGCAAGCAGAAAGCGCCAAGGATAGAAAAAGTCATATAGTGCATTAAAGATTATTAACCACTAATGTGACTGTTGAAAGCGAAGCAGGTGGTCTCTGCGTGTCGGTTCGTTGACAACTTTAAACGTAAAATACAAAGCGGATATAAATAAAAACGAAAGTTTTGTCTTTTTTTTTTTTTTTTTTTTTTTTTTTAGTTATTATTACATTTTTTCTAACTGTCGCAACTTTATTCGTAAAACAAGCTGTTAATTTAAAAATGCTTACTTCTTTAAGCAGGGCAGGATAATATATAAAATGGATCTCTTCTAAGGGTTTCCTCTCGCAATATCACGATGTACTTAAAATACGGCTGTCTTTCTTTCGGTCGACTATATGTAGGCTGTTGGTCTACTGTTTGAATTAGTTGGTATCGATTTATTTACTTAAAACTTGGTGAGTGTTCTTGAGGATATTAAGAGACGCTCATATATGAATGTGGGGGTTTGTCGATGTATATTTGAATATAACCAGAGTCAGGATGAAACAAGGAAAAACCCAAGAATTCGTTTAAAAGAACGCATTAACGGATTTCGATAATTCTCGATTGGTACTTTTAATTTTATTACGATGTTTTTAGTGGACATTTTGGTTGTTTTTGTTTTCGTAAATATTTTCAGGGAAAATTATAAAGAAATTGATACATGTTTCAAAGATAAAAGAGAAGTAAAGTAATTAGACTTGAGAAAAAGACGATGATTTTATTCGTTTGATATTTGCAATAGTTAGCAGTTAAATGCGTTTCGTTCGCGTCCATATGCACGATAATTTCTTAAAACACTAATATTATCGACAATTCTTGGTGGGTGTGATGGTATAATGGTGGGATTTCGGTTGGGTAAGTATACAAACTGTCTCGTCTCGTTTCAGTCTTAGTTGCAGTAACGGATTAGAAAAACGACGATTGATATTTGTAGTAATGAATCATCCAGTAGCTGTATGAAATCACCCAACAGAGCCCATAATGATGTATGTTACCAGTAGGCTTACGCCTAACTTTCCCCGTCCCACAAATACTAGGAACTTAAGATTGATGACTTAGGATAAATATTCATGTTGAACAGTTACTACCAGTGCACACCCAAGGTTAGTTGATGTATTCTTCAACTAACCTACGTTACCGGAGTAAATTTTGACTGGTCTCTCATTTTCACTCCAGCCAATGAACCATCCAACCGTCTGATATACTATGATTATTAAAGATAGACGTCTACAAATACTGCTAATCTGTATCCATCACTTACAATAATGGTAGAACAATACCTACTGTAAACTGTCTGATAAAGTAACAATAATAGGTAATCTACCAGTTATGACAACTTACTAACTGGACTCCTATACCGATATGTCATTGGTATTTAGGTATAATAGCTGCTATATTCATAAAACTTCATTAAGGAGCTCGTCCAAAATGAATAACCAGGTTGATGTATGATCATTACTACTGATACTACGGCTAGCGTCAGACGCCTTACTATATCTTCCTTAAATACGTCAACCTGGTTGCAATTAGATTCTTGCAACCCAAATCACCGAGGGGACATCGCTCATAGTGAGAAAAGAAAGAAACAACACCTTTCTTACAATCCCAATGGGAGAGTTCCTACATTAATTGATCATCAAAACAATGATTATGCGATTTGGGAGTCGGATGCTATTTTGGCATACTTGACAGACAGATACAACAAGGAAAGAAAGATTTCGTTGCCTCATGATCATCCAGAGTACCATCATTTGCTTCAGTATCTGTTTTTCCAGTCTTCAGGTCAAGGTGTCATTTGGGGACAAGCATCCTGGTTTAACTTTTACCATCCAGAACCTGTTGCATCTGCCATTACTAGATACAGGAATGAAATAAAGCGTGTGCTCGGTGTTTTAGAAAGTATTCTCCAAGACAAGGACTATCTCGTTGCTGACAAGTACACGATCGCCGACATGTCTTTTATTAATTGGAACGATTTGCTACCTGCGCTTTTTGGAAAAGGAAGGCATGAATTCAAAGAAGATCTTCCACAATTGGACTTCGAAAAGGAGTTCCCCAAGACCTATGCTTGGCATAAACGTCTTACTGAGCGTCCCGCCGTCGCTGCGACCATAGCGGAACGACAACAAG